TTGGCCACGATTCTCCTCCTACCACCATCAACTAATTATATTACTATTTATATTTCAACATATTGCAGCATCTTCAGTCTATGAATTGCCAGTACTTATGATGATTGTGATTGAATGTCAATTCAAATCAAATATCGAAAAACATGAACGAGCATGTACGAATACGATTATACGCAAGTTCTGTTTTCTGTAGGCTGAACAATCGTTTCATAATGAGAAGTACGTACGTATCTATCAAAAATTTGATTCGTGTATTGTAATACGGAAGCAGAAAAACATATTAGCACTATCGCAAAGAGTGATTTATTTTTTCAGACGAATTACTTTTGTACCAATGCAACATATGAAAGTATTATTTGGTATACTGTAGAGTGAGAAAAGTTGCAACTTTTTGCACGAACGTAAAATAACATGTAGCGTTTTCCTGCACCTCACTCCCCTCCACATTGTCTTGGAAAGGAAAGACAGGATGGTTTTCTACAGATTCCTATCACTGCAAAATCAAATTGGAGGGAGGCGACTGCTGGACCACTTTGTGATACTGTCTGAAATGAAAAATTACCAAACACTAGAAATGGTTCTCGACATGGTGGCTACTCAGACACACGTGGAAAAATCTTTCGAAGTCCTTTTCCCGAAGAGAGACGAGAGGGTTACTGGATCAGGCTGATTCCCAGAGACCGAACTCGTTATGTACACAGATGGTTCGAAAACCCCTCTTGGAGTTGGAGCCGGTGCGTTCAGCAAAAAACCGAAGACGAAAATTGCTGTCAATCTTGGTGAGTATGCTGCAATCTTCCAGGCGGAATTCTTTGCAACTCAATTGTGTGCTATAGAGTCGACAAATAGACCTCTTGTAAACAAAAACATCAGTGTTGTATCGGACAGTCAGGCTGTTCTCAAAGCACTGAGCTCCAGCAAGATGAATTCCGAGCTTCTATGGAGCTGTATTGAATCCCTAGAATGCCTGGGTGCAAACAACAGAGTTACTCTGCTGTGGGTGCCTGGACACCAGGGGATGGAGGGCAACGAGAAAGTCGACATCCTCGCCAAAAAGTGATTCGAATCTGTATTCATAGGACCAAAACCATACTTCATCATCAAGTGTTGTCAAAACAACTATATCGGACTGAGCGGAGGAAGAAAGACTCACGCACAGGTCTGACTCACCAAGATTAAACCATTTGAAGGCGTTTCTGCCCAAACCATCGAAAACATATGACTAAGCTGATCCTTGATTGGAGCAGGGGTAACCTGCGAAGTCTGACAGGACTGCTCACGGGACATTGTCGTCAAAGATACCACCTGGGATGGATGGGTCTGATCTCACAAACGGACTGTTGGTTCTGCTGTGTGGGAGACGAAACGCCTTGCCCTTGCTTAGAGAGACTGAGGTTCGACATATTTACCTTCACCAATAATTTAAAACTTATCGATTTCAGAGAAATCTCACCTGAGTCAACCATGGGTTTGTTAAAATATGTGGATTGTACGGTGAACTGTAACCTCTAGGGGTGAGCCATAATAGACCCATCTGGGGTCGCAGTAGAGAGGCGGTATTCGCAACATGAAACCTACCTACCTAGTACTGTTTTCAATCCATTGAAATGGTTTCCTCCCAACACCTACATTTTCTTCCCATCCTCCATATCCTTCCTAGGTACGCACAAAAATATTCGAACATCATAGGAATTTCCTTGTGTGCGCTCCAAGACAAAAAAAAGGTGAAGGAATTGGCAAAGTAACAGCTTGAGGCGTTTTTACAAGAAAGAGCCTGTATTAGTTGGTCGTGGTGGTTGATCGTAACATCCTACAAAATTAGCTGTCTCGTTACAAAACCAGTTTAGAATCGGAAAATATTTCCCTGGCGGCCAGAGCGACACGTCTGGAAAATACATTTTCCAGCTCGTTCACGGAACGCGATGGCTGCATCGGTCTTTTATTGTCGGTTTCGTCGGCGACCGTATTTTTCCCGAGAGCAGAATTCTCTCTGTTATATTCCTTCGGCGGGCAATTCCTTCAATGGATAATTCAGCTTATATTGGAACGGTCGTCATAATAATATCACACTAGGGCCAGCCAGCGACGCTTCTTTCCATTAGCTTGCTGGATCGATATTGGGATAAGGCTGAAAGTTCATTTCGAAAAGAACCGATGGAAAAGTCATAATGGTCACAATCAAGACTAGCGTCTGGAAGAAGGAGGAAAAAAATAACAACGTAGTGGCAGAACCGCGCTAAGCGCGAGAATGTAGTTTGTTTGTTTATGGCGGGCACAAAACACCATATCACAAAGTAATTACGCATTCAGAGACATCATCGTTTTGCCGAATCTTACCAAATTTGATGAATATGTCGATATAAGTCATAATAAATGTTTTGTTGTACCAGAAGTAACAGTAAATTCGTTTTTTTAATATAACACCCTGCATATCATGGTGTTCAAAATCAAGATTTTTCAACTTCAGTATTTATTTGTATGGAAACTATTCATTGTTGGTCAAAACAGCTCACATGTTCACCTCAACTATTGAATTACTATCCACTGACGTCCCAGGCAACCAGATGACGTTCCAGTGAAGTCTTTTTTACGTCACTTGAATGACCAAGGTGACGTCACATGACGTGATAATGACGTGAATAAGTCACAGCCCAATGACGTCATATTACTCACGTTGTATTGACGTCATTCACTCACCAAACTGTGACGTCCGACTGACTGAGATCGGTACGTCACACCGACGTGATTTTTAGACGTCATAGATACGTCACTGCAACGTCATAAGAGTAACGGTTTCAATATAAGTATTGAAGCAGAACGCCCTGTATAAGCATCGCATTTTCTGAGGAATCAGTGTTTGTGCCAGTTACCTACCTATGATTTGCTATTGCTTTCGTGGTAATCCAATAGATGGAGGAAGAATGTTCATTTGGAAAACTTTAAATATATCGTCCCTTGTTTTTGTGGCGCTAAGGCAAAAAACGCACTTGGTATCGTTTGTTCGAGCTCGACTTTTTGATTTTGTGAGCATTTGTGATTGATGGTAGCTCTTAGTTACAGCGTGTTGAATATTGCTTTTATATAAAGTGTTGTTTTGCACCGACTTAGTGCCAGGTAAAGTAGTTACTCTTTATATTTTTCATGTATTTTAATGGTGCCTTATGTACATCTTCCAGATTTCATATACATTATATTTAGCCACGTTGGTGGGTGATTGGCAAAATAAAACCCCATACTTTCCAAAACTACTCATTTCGCGACCTGAAACTCCCCCTGAGGATATTCTGTTACAGTATACCTCTTCCGAGATATACAGTGTGTCAAAGTTTTTTAGCAAAAAGTGTTCTCCTACTTTTCGGGTATATTGATTATTCCAATAAAACTTGCATGTTGATTTGCTTTCAAGTTATACCTCTGTTTCACATGATAATATATAAGTATCCATGGTTTAGAAAAGTTCTGGGAAAAATGGACGTCGACAGGACGTCCCTGCAACGTCATGAAACTGACGTCTTCTTTCACCCATCTGAGTGACGTTCACTCGACGTCGAAACGATGACGTGATTATCACATCATAGAAAGTACGTCATAGTGACGTCATAAATTGGTGTGTGACGTCTCTACGAAAAATCACCAATTATGGACGTCACAGTGACGTGATTATTCGTCATCTGGTTGCCTGGGGTTTGATTGGAACAAATTCATGGCTATCAGAATGCTGAATCTTGAACACCCTCTATTTGTTCCAGTTAAATGTCAGTTCATATTCATTCAGCAGTTGAGATAGCGACATGTGAGCCGTTTTGACCAATCATATGGATAGTTTCGACACAAAAGTTGAAAAACCCCGATATGGAACACCCTATTCATCTGCAAATCATGTCCGTTAGACCCCAAGTGTGATGTATCGATTAAATCAGCTCTTCAGGGAGGATCTCAAAATGCAATAATGTACAGGGTGTTCTGTTGAAAGAACGATTCAATATATCACTTTCGGTTCGACCGAATGTGAAGCTGATTGTAATTATTTCAGAAGAATAGATCTCATCACGCAAATGGCTGTGATCAAATTTACAGATCGATGTCTCTCCTATTTCTCTATACACATCTCATAAATTTGTAAGGTGAATGGCCCTATATATTTGAATATTTCCAAAATCACATTATCCACCGCCCCTTTCCAGATGTACGTCGGTGAACCGAACACCCTGTATATTTTGCGACTATTTGAGTATATTGTTTTGTTTCAATTATTCAAATATACATATATATGTGATATTCTGTGTATTTTTACTGTTTCCGGAGATGAATGATGAGGTATAGAAATTTCACAAGTTATCTTCGCTGTTACAAAATGAAATAAAAATCCATAGATACGTCGATATTATGTTGTTGTATTTTGATTTCTTTCCTTTTTGTAACAAACTCAAAATTTTTTGATTCAGGAACGAAATTGTTCAACTCTGATGGGAGATTAACTTGACAAGAAAGAATTTTCTTGTGTCAAACCACAGTATGTCAAACTAATTAATTCTTTCTTCGAATAATACGAACTGTGATAATAAATGAATATTCATTCGAATCAAGATTTTCTTTCATGAAGTCAAGAAAGTTCCGTAAAAAAATCGAACCAATTCAAGAGCGCCATATATGGTTGAATCAATGCTGATTCGCCCTGAATCAAGAAATCGTTTTATCCGTGCAGAGCACAGAAAGACGAATGCTCCATGATCTGGGAAACTAGCTGTTTATGTGAAATGTGTGTATTTTATGAAAAGTTCAAACATTTTATGAAATAATTGTCAGATTATCATATTTTATAACCACGTGCCCTCATACCTAAAAGTGGCAATCACCCACAAAAATATCAAACTATTACAGTTCCAGGTTTTTGTTCGGCAACAATATTCCAACACATTCCCTATACATACTTTTGATTTTCATTGTGTAAATTGAGTATAAGCTGCCCCTTATCATTCCATTCGAACGTTGCTACTCACCTATGCACGATTTCATCATGAACCACATTGAAACACATGGCAGTCAATGCCATCCCTGACATGATGTAAATGGAGCAGAACCATATGGTTGTACTGGATTCGTAGTGGGGAAAAGGATCAGATCCAGGTACCATATCTCCGAATCCGATGGTCGTGAGACTCATGAAACAGAAATAGAAGCCGTCCAACATGGACCAGTCTTCTAGTTTGTAGAGCGCGAAGGTACCTGCAACAATATAAACAATTATTGTTTTCAAAGGAAAAAACACGAACACCAAGTCGGTCAACCACAAAGTTTAATTACAAAAGTTTTTGTGACTAGTTTCGGCTCAAGCAGTCATCTTCAGACACAATATATAGTACCTGTAAAGATATTGGTTCACAAGAATAAAATGACATATTGAGGAAAAAACATACCAATAAAAGGACACGTGGAAGCACATAATTAATTTAATTGAAATATGAATAGCAAGGGTCATTTGGCCAAAATTCAATCCGGTGAAAAAATTGGTATTCTTTCGAACCGACTGAACAGCCAAAAGAACCTAATAATGATGAAATTCAACATTGGCAGAAATTGGAAAAACCAGCAGTTAATTCACTCACATGAGTTTCATCTTAAAATGGCCGTTTTTTGTGAAAGACAAAAGCCAAGGAGAAGGCAACGAAATGTCAAGCATAGCAACAGACGTTGACAGAATTACAGGACGAATGACAGTGACATTTGATGTCCTGTAATTGTCTTGCATTTCTGGATTTTTTTCTCTAGAACTCCACTTGAGCTGACTATTGGGAAGAACTATCCTCATGTTTCATGGAGGATAATGAAAGACGAAAAAATCCTTTTTTTGAAATATACATCTCATCTCATTTCAGTGAAAAAAATTGAAAATGGTGACTAAAACTATGGCCCATTCGATCCAGTATATTCAGAAACGGCCTTCTCGATATCCATTATTCATATTAGACTACTAACTCGAGATGTTTTCGAAAATTCGCCTCTAAATGAAATACAGAATGAAATTTTTCAATTCAAACTTGTTTCCTGATATCAATGATTTTCAATATTTATTGCTCAAGTATGAGAAACGAAGAATTGTTGTTCAATATATACTGAGTGTTTTACAACTTATCTGACAAATTTCAACCACAACTACGATATAACATAAGAAGTCTATCACAAAAAAAATTGATAGAAGTGAAACGAGATGGAAAATATAATTTGTTACACTTTATATCAACTAAAACTATTCGAAATGGGTGATAAGAAAATAGGACAATACAGGGTGAACATTTTCAATTCAAACTTGTTTCCCGATATCGATGATTCTTATTATTCTATCAACAAATTTCCAATATATGAGACACAGAGCATTTTTGTTCAATATACTGAGTGTTCCACAACTTATCTGACAAATTACGAACTCTAGAAAGCAATAATGTTAGAAGAATGTGGTGACCAGCATTATCTCCAGATCTGAATTTGATTGAACATGTGTGGAGCCGAATGAAACTTAACCTATCGAGAAGGCGAGGCACCCCAAAATAATGACAACCTTATCCATAATGGGCGGCAATATCAATAGACTTCATCAACAACCTCATAGAATCTATGCCAAACCGAATTCATTAAAAACCGAAAACAACAATACATTTCTGATGCAGAACTCATTGATTTAACAATGAATCACAAGAATAACATCGAAACAGAATAGACTAAGAACATGGATTACACAGTTTTGTTGTATTTTGAGCAGAAAGTCTATGCTACATATAGGTTTTCACGTCAAGAGTTGTGAGACATAATTGAACATCATTTAAATGACCTAACAGCTGATCCTCAACTGTTCAGAAGAATAATTCATTCTTAAAATAGAAAGAAAATAGAATCGTGTATTCCCCGAAACGTAGGACATGTTGAACACTTACTCTAACTGATTCAATATTTCATGTTTCTAGTCAAATATCTCCTAATTTTCTACTTATGATTCTTTGTTCCATCAATAACTTCAGCACAAGAATAATTTTATTGTTTTTGAACCTGAATAAATAGATAATTGAACTCAATAAAATTCATTTTATACCAGCATCATTACTACTCCATTATTTTCAAATCGAAATATCTCGAAAACGGAACATAGTATCGAGTTTCAACAGGAGTAACTTTTTGGTGTGAAATTGAATGATGTGTAAGCTTATATCATATTTGGATTGGAAAATCTAACTTCTCGAAAAAGTTATGAGAGTCAGATATAAAAACAAATTATACGATGTGTCAGATTTCAAGAAACATCCATACAAAATTTCATTGTACCATGGTGCCAGTAGTTTCGGAATAATCGTGAAAACCTGAACACCTTGTATCATGAAAACGGATGCCGTTACGACATTTTTTCACTGACCAAACCCAACTTATTTTGCAATGTTCTACCTACCCTAGCAAGGGGGTTAGGTTTTTTTGAAACACCCTGTATATCAGTACACTGCGACCGGCAGCTGGTCCCAGTGCTGGGTACCCAGCAATCATATTCAGTTTCCCGTCAAAAGGCCAGTACAACATAATCGACACATTGAGTTTCCCATAGCAAGCCCAGCATATACAGGGTGATCAGTTAAGAGTAGCGAGCGGCCATATCTCATAAGATGTTGGTCGTATAGATTTGAGAAAAAAAATAATGATGCAAGTCGCCAAGAGAAATTGCTGGAAATCATTTTCGAGTTTGGCAAACGTCCGCTAGAGGGCGTAACAACCAACACCAAGTAGAAAAATGGGATTTTTATCGAATTTTGTCTCATGAAAGTATGTTGATGATATCATCTTTTGTTCTAGGTATCAAAATGAAGCAGTGGGGAAAGTTATTCAATTGTTTTTTCAAACAAACCAAGACTACTCCCGTTTATTTCGACCTATTTCAGCAAACTCATGGTAACATGAAAGAACATAATTTGCCCTACGAAACGCTGATTTGGTTTTGAATTTTTGACTTTTGCTGTCGCCGCTAGATGGCGTTAACTGAAATTTTTGAGTTTTTTCAAAAAAATCAAATGTAATGGTATATAAATTTTCATATGTTTTGAAAGAGGATAAATTTCTCCATAATTTGATGAAAATAATTCATCATCTTCCTTTTTTCGAATCGTTGATATTGACCATAATATAATTTTATTACATTAAAAAATGGAATGCTACTGTTTTTTATCAAAATAAAAATCAGTTTTGTAATCTCTTATCAGTTGCTAACAAAATCAACCTCTCGACTTTTTTTCGTTAGACAAACGGTTTTGTATTGAAAAAATGAAATAGGTTCACATACTGGTTCAAAATTATTTTAGATATGGGCGCCCCATCAGATTTGGATTGGAAAATCTAACCTAAAAAAAATTACGTTTAAAACTACTCGGTATACGAACCGTGTCACTAGCGCCCTCTATGAGAGTCAGGTATGAAAACAAATGCATGCGATTTATCAGATTCCAAGAAACATCCATACAAAATGTGATCACAATGTTGCCAGTAGTTTCGATATAATCTTGAACACTGTGTAAAAAAATCATTTTTTCAACACCTTGTATCTTGACAACGGATGCAGTTACGAAATGTTTTTACTGGGAAAACCCAACTTATTTTGCAGTGTTCTACCTACCCTAAAAAGGAGGGTCAGGTTTTTTTTAAACACCCTGTATAACTAACTCTCTGTTGATAGAATGAAGAAGTGGAAGTGAGGTTTGGGAAAACAGGGGATATTGTTGAAATGGATATATCATCTTTTCAATCAATAGGTAGATACCTGTATTTGATATGTAACCAAACAGATATTTTATTCGAAAACAGTTTCAGAGATATTTGACTGGCCCAGTAGCTCTCTCGCCCTGTAAATTTCATTTGAAGAAATTGTTCAGAACATATAAATGGGGTGTCGACCACAGAGCCATAGCATTCCACCTAGAAATGGAATATTTCGAGAAAAGCATTTTATGAGTAATAATTTCTACTCTGTACCAGACATTTGAATCAGGTGGATTTCAAGTTGTGTGGAAACTCATCTGGAAATACATCATAGCGCACAAATGGGGCAAATAAAGTCATTCAACAAAGCTGTATGCGAAGTTGTCAAAATACAAGTAAAGGTGAAACCAGAAAAACTTCACGTAACTCCACTCGCAGTGGTAAAGCGGTTGCTATTGATGGAATATTTTTTCCAGCAGGAAGTAATAACTCAATTGAAAAATCGAAGGTGCGGTGTATAAGGCAGGAAAGAACTAGTGAAAATTTTATTGAAAATATACAGGGTGTTCCGTAATATGTGGTACGCACTTCGAGGGTTGATAAAGCGTCTCAAAAAAATCAGAAGGTTTCCATAAACGAAAGTCGTAGGAGACCTTGTTTGCGAAATACATGGTATTGAAGTTGAGAATAAAAAATAATCCACATCGAATTTCTAGATAACCGCTAAACAAAAATTCTTGATATTTTGATGCATAACTCAGTATACCAGCGAGTGATTAGAAGAAGAATAAGAATAATAAGGTGTATTACGCAAGAGGGCATTTTCAAGTAATTTTTTTGACAAATATTTTTTGTTCTCATAAAAACATTTTCATAGCATCGAGTTCGTGATGAAAATCCATTTTCAGGCACTGGAATTGGTTTTTCTGAATCCCTTTCAGAAATGAAACTCACATCATTCTTTTTCCATATTCTCAAATTATAGATATACGACGACTGATTTCAATCCCTAAAGCAAGGAAATATATCGATATGTGGTTTTCAGGCAACGACATCAGTTTTAATATATCAATTTTTCTATGAAAGTATACAATTTGGCTCACCCTGTACATTGTACATTTCTTCCATATACCGGGTTATCCAAATTCAGGGGCCACTATTGAGATATTGGCCAAGGGCAAAGTTGCACTTCTATGTGACTAAAAATATGCCGTCGAGATCATTATCAAATTCCGAGTATTTTCGAAGATATACGAAATAACAGATATTTTGGTAAATTCGGGAGGGGAATGACTTTCATTTTTTCTAGTGATATTTGTAAGAGAATATCGAAATTGGAAGCACATTTACATTGCTACTTTATTTCTGCTATACGAAGACATATTAGAATTCATCATGCAATTATTATTATTGATGAAATTCCGATATGGCGCCCATCATTGTGAAAAGAATGATGATGATTGG